TCATGCATATGGTGTCTTGCATTGCCATGCCATCTGCTTAGATTAGACATGCTTTGTGTGAATGCCTCTAGTTTGCTTTCTATATCAGATATGTGAATTATGCAATGCCATGTTTTTCAGCCAGTTATCATATATGTGAATTATGCACCGCCATGGAGCCAGGCATCATATATGTGAATTATCTCATGCCATCTTTTTTTTCATTACGTACTCCATTTGTTGACAATCTGTGTATATTGAACTACTCTTCATGTGTATCAGCCATTTGAGGCGGTTATGGAAAAATCTGGAGTGAAAACAAGGTCTTTAGAGAAGCAATGGTACCTGTTGAAGCATATATCTCGATGGTTACAGGGAGCTCCTCAGAGGAGGATTCAGAGACAGGTGACCAGTCCTATATCCCACCTGAGGTGTATGCTCTAAGTTGCAATGTTTATATTTCTCATATGATGCATATGGTGTCTTGCATTGCTTAGTTTAGACATCATATGCACAATATTGAATTCTATCTGCTTAGTTTAGAGATCATACATGCGAGTGCTAGCTGCTTAGTATATGAATCAATTATGTCAATTACATCATGCCATCCTGTATACTTAGACAACATGTATGTGAATTATTTTATCCCAACCTATTTTAGAAAGACATCATATAGTTTTGTCATGTCATCCTGTTTAGGTACTCATCATATGTTGAATTATGCCATTATATCCTGTTAAGTTATCCATCATATATCTGAAACTGTGTCATGCTATCCTGTTTAGTTAGGCATCATATATGTGAAATTGTGTCATGCTGTCCTGTTTGGTTAGACAACATATATGTGAATTACCACATCTGTCTATCATACAATGTCTGTACGTTCAATTTCATTTCTTGTTTATCAGCCATTTGAATTGGAGGGGGTGATGGCAGTATCTAAGGGAGAAAAAACCCGTTCTTCACAAAAGACAGTGCTACCCGTCGATGCAGATAGAACCATGGTTGTACTGGCCCACAAACTAGCCCCACCACACATAATCAAGACTCTTCTAGATTGCACACTTACACCGTTGGGCAGAGAACCAGCTACAACCCATCTAACCGCAACCCCAGCGGATAGTAACCCACTTATAGTTGACAAAGCACCATGTCCACCACAGAGTACCCCCACATGAGAAGTTTGTAAAGCTACTGCAGTGCCCAAAGAACGAAGACCACCACAGCTAACCCAAACTCCACGTTTAAAGCAGAAGAGCAACTGTTCTCAGGTCAGATTCCGTAGCTATGGTCCATACTCCTTTGCTGTTGCATCACTGTATTTACTCATACCAACTACTTTTGAATTTGAAGGATCCAATTGAAACTCCAATGGCGCAACAGGTATGTTTTAAACCTATTTCTTTAACTGGATTGATGTTCTAACTTCTTGCTCTATGTTGATTTCAGTTTAAGTTGTATAAACAGTTATGTTCTCATGTGATGCACATTACAAGTGCGCCCAATGCTGTGTAGTTTCTCACACTTATATTCTGTCTATGCTGCTATGTCTTAAAAATATATGAGTTGAACTGTGTCTCTATCTTGATTAGGGAACATAAACTAGAATGATATGGACAATACAGTGACCATAGTACATAGATATATGTTTGTTTCATGCTGTTATCCTGTCCACCTTACTACCGAACCGGTTTACCAAAATGAGTTTGGTATACTACAAGCTAAACCTGTGATGTGTCTGCTTGTTTCTCTTGTAGTATGCAAACAAAATATTGGAGAAGAGCACCCCATTATGCAATGGTAGAGAAAGTAATGCAGATAAGGTTCAAGATAGTGAGACAACCCTGTTGGTCTCCAAGAAAGGTGATAAAAACGATCTTGTAGACAGTGAGAAAACCCCACAGTCCTGCGTTGATGTAGTGTTCGACTTACTGGCCAGTACCGCTGGCACAAGCTCTTCGAACTCGCTGCCTGAATCACTTCGGCTTCTTCAGTCTCAGCTACAAGCTGAAAGGCATCAGTCATCTGTGCTACGGCAAGAAGCCGAAGGACTGAGGAAGTCCCTGCAGAATTCAGGTGCGTACTTTCTTGTGCAACAGCAAGCGCTGGAGGATTTAAGCGACAAACAAGAGAAAGTTAATAAGCTTGCTAAGCATCTTGCCAGCATTATGGGTACCCAGGATATTGTTTCTTGAACTCTTCTAAAGTGGTTTCAGTTCTGGACTTGTTTTGCTGCGGCGTTTATATGCTGCTGTGTTCCCTATATTTGCACTGGTGGTGAACTTTGATGCCCAGTGGATGTAATATGTGTAATAGCCGTGATAGCCTAGCATAAGTTGCTTGCTTATCTATTTCCTTGATGTCTGGTTTATTTGTTTGCTTGTAGTCAGTGCAGTTCTTTTTCCACGGTTTGCTAGTGGCTGCAATAACCTATTTTTTAAAACTAGGCCACAATAACCATGGGCTAATATTTACTGTAGTGACACTGGGCCTCCTACGGGCCGTAGAAACAGTGGGCCTTCTACGGGCCGTAGAAATAGTAGGCCTTCTATGGGCCGTAGAAACATTAGGCCTTCTACGGGCCGTAGAAACAATGGGCCTTCTACGGGCCCTATCATCAATGGGCCTTATATGGGCCGTATGATCGATTGGCCAAACATGGGCCAATAATAGGCCGCATTATGGCCGTAAACGGGCTAGAGTTGGAATCGTCCGCTCATGGGCCGACCATAACGGGCCATCGTTAATAGGCTGTATTTGATGATGCTATGAAAATGGCCCAATGTATTAACGGACCACAAACGGGCCGATTGTAACCACGGGCTGAATTTGGCCCACAAGCAGAAAATTATAGTAATGGGCCGTAAGTAAACGAATGCTCGAAATGAGCCCAAGAATAAATGGGCTCTGAGAAGGCTGAAAGATAACATGGGCTGGAAACGGCCCAACTGAATAACGGGACATTAATGGGTATAAAGTGATACACTGTTCATTACGGGCCATTAATGGGTCTAAAGTGTTACACTGTTCATTGCGGATCAGTTTCACCACGGGCCGTTAATAGGCCAAGAGTTACATAGGGCCTCATATGGGCCGAAAGACGTCATGGGCCATACATGGGCCAGAAGTGAAAACGGGCTGGAATCATATTGGATGGCCCAGATGACGCTACTGGGCCTAATTCGGGTAGGGCGTAACGGGCCTTGGGTTAGCGGGTTGTAAATGGGCTATATGCGAACAGGCCGTTAACAGGCTTTCCATGGGCCGGCCCATCACCTTTTGATCAAGTCAAACGGGCCGGCCTTTTCACAAGAATGGGCCTCTGTTGGGCCGGGCCACGTGTCGACGTATCATAGGCGCCTTCTGTCCAATGAGTGGATGACATCTGTCCCAACGGTGAGCCGACACGTGTCACCTCCAGCCAATGATGATTTTACACGTGGAAAATCCCCATTGGTCAGGGCTGTTAACCGGTTATCGGATGCAAAACCCGACCCGGTAGCTTAACAGCGTTCCGTTACGGTGGATGCCACGTGTCGGTCACCCTTGACGAAAGCACTTTTGTGACGCGCGATTTATCATCATGGAAGTGGACACTTCCATGATGATAATTTTGGTAATGTCATGGAACACTTCTACGACAGCACAGGTATGACTATCTTGATTCTGTCATAAATTTGTCATGGATGTACATGCATGACAAAAAACGCGACCTACTGTGACAAACACGTATCATCATGGAAGTGTATTTTTTTTGTAGTGTTGACTCTACCAGTGACTTGGACTGATACTTTTGTTCTAGTTCTTTGTCAGTTTTGTGTGAGTGTAATTTTTTTCATTTGAGTTTTTTGCCTTATTTTTTGTGTTTGTTTTTGTGATTATTCTCAAGTGTCTTCTGGTGTCATTTTCAGAACTATGTTACTTGCGTGTAGACTGAGTTGTACTGACAGTGCATTCATAGTAGCGCTTACGGACTGATGCTTCTTTGTATTTTTTATTGTAGTAAGTATTTAATGTCCGATCAAGTGTACCTAGTTGTACTGGCATGGAGCAACGTTATGTGATTAGTTGCATCAAGTACCTACTTTTCAATTTTGAAATGATGGATTAACAACATACGAAGCTACCAAACCAAACTTATATAATGAGATAAGCAAAACATTGTACTTGATGACATAACTAAACTTGTTCAAACATGAGAAGCACGACATAATAATACTGGTTCAACCCAACAAGAGCAAACTACTAATTTAAAACAACAAGATAAAAGGCAAGCACAAGCGGAAGTAAAACGAAGGCAGGCTCTAATGTATCTTCATCCCGTAAAGGGGCAATAGGGGCAGTCGTAGAAGTTTTCAGCCTCCCGCTCTTTCGCATATTCCGAACCATCTGTGATGTAGTCGATCATGAACCATGACTTGTACGCGAAGTACGCATCTACTCCTGCATACTCGATGAGGTTGTCTGGCAGCTCGCTGGTCCCCCACAGTTTGTAGTCTTCCTGCGTGTTGATCTTGTTCTTCATGCCTTTGTAGAATGGGTCGATGACACTGGCTGCAACATCAGTCAAGGAGTCGTACTCTTTTCCGGTGTATGGAACTCTCCACTTGCGCTGAATGTCGATGAATTTGTTGGGGTTGATCTCCATACCGGACAACTTCAGCTTCTCTTTGTCACTTTCAATGCTGAAACCAGCAAATGTGAACAACTTCTCATGCTGCAGCATCTCGATCAGGCTCTTGGGCCTGCAAGGGCAGAGACATTTTGAATATTAGCATTACTTCAATGTTTGAATTATTCATTTTTGTTTTCTTTTACAAGCGATGAATCCATGAAGTAGTTGTTTATGTAGGTTAAACAATGAATGAATGTACTTCAAAAACTAGTAAAGAAAGTTCTGAAATTAAATTAAGTACATCATGTTATTCTTCTTCTTGGATTATACATAGTTTCAGTCAATGTTGTATGTTCTGCATTGGTACTAGTTTAGTCTACTTTTGTTGAAATAGGATAACACAGAACCAGTGCTTCACCAAGTCCTTAGTTTATTTTCTTATGACAATAACATTAGATCAAATTCAGAAAATAGTTCACTACATCAAGTTCAGAAACATCTTGTTAATACATTGAGTACATAGACTACTCTATTGGATCAACTTCAGAAACTACACTAGTCGATCAACTTCAGAATTTAATCTTCCGCAAGATTTTCCAAATAGTAATCTAGTGCATCAGGTTCAAAAATACATTTATAGTATATCTACTTGAGAAAATGCAGTAGTGCATCCACTTTTCACAAACCACACTAGTACATCTAGTTGGGAAACAAGTCTGATTAAATTTTCAGGATACAATACTAATAAAACAGATAAACCATATGCAGGGCAAATGAGTAGGATTGCTCATCATTTTGTGGCCGCTGCGATGTGGTACACCAAGCAGAGTTCATCGACGCATAACTGCAGGACTGCTGCCATCTGGGGAGGTTCATCTTCGTTGGTGTAGTGCACACCAACACTGACGATCCTACGAGTCCTGCCGCCAAGCTTCCTCCAGAGCTTGGAGATCACCTCGTCGGCCTTTTCTGGTACGCTGGTGCAGACGATCTCCAGCGTCTCATTGCCGTGGAGCTCAACCCCTTTGAGGGTTGTTGTGTACTCGCGCTTCTCGCCGGGGATGTTAATGTCGACGAGGTTGCTGCTCTTGTCCGACGTCTCGGCATGATGACGCTTGGCGGACGGTTCCTTTGCCATTGCCTTCCTCCGGCGACTGTGGGCTTTGGAGAGAGAAGTTTTTGGTTTGTGTGTAGTGGAAATGGAAGCAGCAATGGTGGTTTGTGGGAACGAGGGAGATGGAAGAGAATGGGTTTTTTTGCAGTGCGTGGACGGGGATTTGTGGGAGGCGGTTCGTTCAGGGGAGTGTGTGTAGTGGGTGTTGTGGCATGGGGTCACCGTTTGCAGTCCCTTGTGGCAACTGCTCAGTGGGTGGCGCGGGTGGAGGCATGGAAGAACTAACCGTCCAAGTTAAATGGTTTTTACTGTTGAACTGACTAGTCTTGTCAAGTTGTACTTATGACCTGCCAAATCCCACTTGCACGTCTCTGCGGTGGTGATGATGGCATTTTACTGTGGCACCGATTCGTATAGTCAAGCTGTACTTATCAGCTGCTTATCCCACTTGCACGTGTCAGCGTCGGTGTTGATGGAGGTCTGAACTCCTCTACTGTCGTACTCGGACTGGTGATTGAAGTGTAATTGAACGTACCAAATACCAATGAGACTATGTGTGGTGCTAATGTTTTTTAAAACAATTTTCATATTTTTTAAAGGATTGTTTATATCAAGATAATTTGTGAGTATTTTTTACAGATAAATTAGATTTTCACCAGTACAGGATGTATTATATTCGCATTTTTATTGAGGTAATTATTTTTATGTACTGATGGTCTTTCTGAATTGGGACTGGCAGAAGCAGGCATAGCTTTGTTTTTTCAAAACGATTTTTTTTGAGTCGTTCACTGGTGTGTTTGTTTTACTATGCCTTTTGTACTGCCGACTGAGAATTATCAGTACTGATGTACTACAAGAGTTTAAAGTTTTCCTTGACATTTTTTTGCTGAGTTACTGGTTGACAGTAGCGTTTTGCGTCAGATATATCCAGATAAGTTTTTTCAAATTTATTTGTGACTGCATTCAAAAGGATTATCAAATGGTTTAAACAATAATGTCACTGCTTCAGCGGGCACAAATCAAAAATTATATCAGTACTGATGTGTACTCAGCCTTGTACTGACGACTGAGAGTTATCAGTACTGATGTACTACAACAGTTTAAATTTTCCTTGACATATTTTTTTCCCGAGTTACTGGTTGACAGTAGCGTTTTGCATCAGATATATCCAGATAAGTTTTTTCAAACATATTTTGTGACTGCATTCAAAATGATTATCAAATGGTTTACATAATAATGTCACTGCTCCAGCGGGCACAAATCAGAAACTAAAAAATAACTTTAGTTCTGATCGAGAAATCGATGATAAAGCTAAATAAGTTTTGGTAACGACAGTGTTTCTGAAATGCTTCCTCATTGTGTGCTGATGCAACTGAGACTACAAGGTTATTTTTTAGTTGACGCAGCAGGATAACAACTATGTATTGTTCAGTCTTGAGCTTCTCCTAACTGTCCCCAAATGTTGTGCCTTGCCGGCGCTCTTTCCAGGTTGAGCCTTGGCATCTTCATCGTCAGTTTCAGTTTCCTCGCCCCCGACATTGTCATCTTCATTGTCTTCGTCTGATTGGCCGTCATTCTTGTCAAACTCTTCTTCTTCATCGTCTTCATTTGATTGCTTGGAACTCTGTACCTTGCCCTGTTTATGTTCAGCTCCACTGACCTCCTTGCCCACTTTGCACGTGCGGGCATTATGTCCGTCAGTTCCGCCACACTTGCGGCAAGTGTAGCTGTTACGTGTGTTGTCTCCAGTGGTAGAAAGCTGGGTGGCTCCAATCTGCTTGTTCTTGTTGACAGTGGTATCTGTGCGGAGTGGGCATGTGCGGTAGTTATGGTTGCTCACGACGTTGCAGAATCCGCATGCCCTTATACCGAGGGGTTTGCCGTCCGGGCCAAATTCCACGCGCTTGATGGGGCGTGGTGGCTTTTTGGCTGCTGCTTTCACAGCTTTCGCTGCTTGTGTCTTGCTCTTCCTCCCCTTTGTGTTTGAGAATATTGGGGGTTTAATCACCCTTTCCTGCTGCTGCTGGTAGGATGTGCTATTGTCATGTCGTTCGCCTATAGCACCATCAAGCTCATGATCTCGCATGTGAGCTTGTCATTGCTCTTGAGTGTGCACATGGGCAAGCTCCGGTTGCTACTACTCCTCTTCCTCGTTCTCAAACGGGTCAATAGCTCCCAGATGGTTCATCTCGGATAACATTGTAGCAATATCCTGCTCAATGGCTTCATTGTCCGCGACACCTCCATTTTCAGCAGAATGCATGGCGTCGAGTTCTTGTTCAAGTTTGTCCATGACGACCCGAGACCTTGCCATTTGCTCTTGGCTTCTCAATCTTTTTCTGTGCACCCTCATGTTCAGCGTCACCAGTGAGCTTTCAATGCAGTATTGGGATGCCTTGTTTGACGCTACTATCCTCAAGTCATTTCTATCAAATGTTGGCTGGATGTTCGGGTGTTTGGTGTATCTCCTGAGTATGTATTTCTCTGGAACGCTGGCAGCCTTAATTGTCTGCATCATGCACAGGACATGCACGCAGAAAAGACCTGTATTTGTGTTTGGAAGAGGTGCATGTTTTTTGTCATTTCATTAGAACAAAAACTTTGCAAAAAAAGTAGTACAGTCTTTTTTGTAGTCCTCACCTGTGTGGTCCCATAGCCTGCACTCGCACTCATATGTTTCTCCAACAGGGTCTGCAACCACCTGGAACGCGTGCTGAGCCCACACAGACAGTTTTTGCGGGTGGTTGTAGCGCACTAGGTACTTCGTGGGCTCTTCCGTCTCTGTCGCCGTGAAGAGTGTGCTCAGTTTTAGCCTATCTCTGATCTCGCTGTACACAGCTCGTGTGTACAGCTTTGCCATCTGGGTGTCAAACCCATAGAAGGTCAGCGTGTTTTGTTCCTTCTGCAGATGCAAGAATGATGACCAAATTGTTAGTTTTCTCACAGGAAAAACTTCTAATAAAGTTTTTACTTTAGTAAGCATGTAATTTTTTGTCTTATGACAACTGATAGAGCTATACCCGGTTACCCATTGTCTCCTGGTTCTCTGTCTGCCTTCTGGTTTTGACGCAGGAGTTTACCTGGCTGACAAACCGGTGTCGGTTATGTCTCTCATTTACGTAGTTCTTCTTGAGCACATAGTTCATCCTCTCACTTCGCTGTGTGTATGTCATTTTGGCGCAGAAAATTTCTTTGAAGTAGGCCGATATCCATTTCTCACGCTCGTTCCACATGCCCACCATTGTGGCATCATCGTGGAGGTTGTACTTATCTATGAGTCTTTTCCAGGCATCCTCAAACTCAAATGGCATGAGGGGCCAGTTGAGAATTGATGTGAATTCATCCTTAAAGTCATCATGTAGGAAATACAAGTACGCGAGGTGTTCCCTGTACTTCTTCATAATGTGCCAGCGGCATAGCTTATGTACTGTGTTCTTGAAAACATCTGCGATCGTCAAAGCCATTGCCGGGCACTGGTCTGGTAATGAGAAGATAGACTCGGAGTCGCCAGCAGATGGTTGTGCATATATACCAATAGAACTGACACAACATTTTTATTGTGTTACTTTCCTTTTCTTTTTTGGAAGGGGGTGGTGGTTGTACCTGTGAGGATGCATGTAGGAGCCTTCATTCTCATGCACCTTAAAAATGTCTTGAACAACCACTTGAATGAATCTGCATCCTCATCTCTTATTAGGGCAAAACCAAAGAATGTAGTCTGTAAGTGGTTGTTAGTTCCGACAAACACCCCAAGTGGCATATGGTACTTGTTGGTCTTATATGTTGTGTCAAACGTTATGCAGTCCCCGAAGTCCTGATACGCCCCTCGGCAGCTTGCGTTCGCCCAGAATATGTTCTTAACTCTGTCGGACTCATCGAGTTGCATGTCAGAGAAGAATTCCCTGTTTATAGCTTTCATCTCCCTAAAGAAGTTGACAGTCTTTAGGACATCGTCCACATCATCAATCCTTGAATTCTTTGCTTTCCTGCATATTAAAAGTCCATTGAAAAATGCATGTTGAGCTGGCGTCAGGTCATGCGTTGCGTGATATGTTTGTACTAACAGAGGAAAAAAGACGGAGGCGGTTTATGGGGAGAGAACAAGTTTGTACTTACAGGTTAATCAGGTCTTTGGCATTCATTTCGAGGAAGTAGCTACCAGGGTCATCACCACCCAGTATGCTCATGATTTGCGCGTGTTCAACGCCATTGAACTACAGGTACTTGACGTACTCGAAGATTGTTTTGTCAAAGTTTTTGTGGGAGTGCAAGAAGACAAGCATTTATGCGGTGAGCTGTAGCATGTGGTTGTGTTCCCAGACTATCTCTTTTACGACAAATGTTCCATCCTTTTCCTTCTTCAGCCTCATTTTAGTCCTGCAGTTAGTTCTGGCTGTCGTCTTGTTACGCTGTCTATTTGCTTCAGACACCTTTGATTCAGAAACTCCATGGCACGTGCAGTAAAGGTAGGCTCTAGTCTTACACTTGGGGCCTTCCCTGACAGCAAAACCAGCGTGCTTCGCATATACGTTGTAGAAGTTCTTAGTTTCTTCAAAAGTTTCAAACCTCATCTCTAGACTTGGTTGAACATAAGCTTCAATGTTAGGTGGCTGCACAACAGTGACCAAACAAAAACGTAGTTATGAAAATGTTAGATGGGTGGTCACAGCACCATGGTATGGACTGTGGTTGTATTTTTTATATATATGGATACTTACATGTGTATAGCTCTGCGCTGCCTCTGGTGTTTGTTGTTCTCCCTGGTTTATGGGCGCCGGTGGTGTCACCCTTGGCACATGCAGCAATGCATCTCTTGGAGGGAGCAACGTTGACGAAGATCTCCGTCTCTCGTTGTACGGCCATCTCCCCTCAGATTCATTGTGAGGTTGCTCCTGTCTATATGGCTCATATCTTGTACTTTTGAACCTGCTAGAGTGGCCAAAATTTCTGTCTTTTTGCCCTGGTCTTCCCGTCGCAACTGCTTTTGCAGCACGGATGATTGATGTTGACAGAGCGACTGGTGG